CCACCATGAGAAGCAAGGAGACCTGTATTTCAGCTGTGATAGTCACAACATCAGGCTGAGACAGAGCGTAACGCTGGAACTCCAGGCTTCAGTCAATCTGTCACTCGCTGAAGGTGAGCCATTTCCACAAAATACTGAAAATCTACACTTAAGGACACTCGCCATTTCCCAGGTACTGAATAGTTACACGTTACACATTTGTGAGCATCATGGCTACAAAGTATGGCTGAGAAGCAGGACGTGGATTTTTATTAAAACATGCTAAATCAGATATTTAGCTGACTTCTACTGTTCTTTGTGTTTTCACCACTCTGACAGTTGCTATAAAACACTTAGGGAAGAACTAAAGAAATCTAAAACGGGTGGTTTTAATCCCCAGTTCACATGAAAACACAATTTATTTTTTTCTCTTTTAAGTATGCTTATTCTTTAATTTGAGTTCATATTTTTGAACTAAAGAAATCTAAAACAGGTGGTTTTAATCCCCAGTTCACATGAAAACACTATTTTTTTTCTCTTTTAAGTATACTTATTCTTTAATTTGAGTTCATATTTCTAAAAAATTAAGCTACATTATTGACTGATATACTGCAATTTTTAATCAACAGAATTAAAATTCATTTCAATGAAATGTCTAGCAATTCTTCTGATGATACTACCCTTGCTTTTAAGTCTACTTTCCAATTTATGTAGCTTTTCATTAATTGAGTTATTTGTAGTATTTCTCCTTCTCTTTGTTCCCTTCCATTTGTCCCCTTTTTAAAGAGTCTTATAGAATAAAGCCCATTACCCAACATCAAACATGATGAACTTTATTAAGATTCTGCTCAAATGGCTATATTGAATATGATAAATCCTTCAGTGCAAACAATAAACATGAATTAAAATATTACTGCGTGATTCCCAAACTGACTTTAATGCAAAGAAAACAGAATTCTTAATGAAAACAACTATAATATAACATAGCTATAGGTTATTCCCTATTTATATAACCACAAAGTACATTTGATTGTAATTATGGAAGAAAATCTCTGAAGATAACTAAAACAAAATAAAATAAGACAAACAAACAACTCCCCCATACACATACACAAAGAGCCTGCTACTGGGGCATGTGCCCTTGACCGGACTTGAAGCCAGGACCTTTCAGTCTGCAGGCCGATGCTCTATCCACTGAGCCAAACCAGCTAGGGCTCAAAGGCAGTATTTCTTTTCTTTTCTTTTTCAATCCTCACCAAAGGATATTTTCCCATTGATTTTTAGAGAGTGGAAGAGAGAGGGAAAGACAGAGAGAAATGTCAATGTGAGAGAAACACATTGACTGGTTGGCTCCTGCATGTGCCCTGACAAGGGCCCTGGTCTGGGAGGAGCCTGCAACTAAGGGTCGAACCCGGGACCCTTCAGTCTGCAGGCGTGAGAGAAACACATTGACTGGTTGTCTCCTGCATGTGCCCTGACAAGGGCCCTGGTTTGGGAGGAGCCTGCAACCAAGGGTCGAACCAGGGACCCTTCAGTCTGCAGGCCGAAGTTCTATCCACTGAACCAAACTGGCTAGGGCTCAAATGGCAGTATTTCGTCTTTTCTTATGACTGAGTATCATCCCACTGTATATATGTACCACATCTTCTTTATCCAGTACTCTACTGAAGAACATTTTGGTTGTCTCCATGTCTTGGCCATGGTGAATGATGCTGCAATGAACATAGGGGTGTATATATTTTTGCGAATAAATGTTTTCAAATTTCTCTACCTAAAAATTATATTCTTTTAAAAATTTCTATTTTTATTATATTAATAAATTCTTAAATGTGAAGAGTTAACTCTATCTCATATCTCAAGAATAAAAGTAAATGATTAAAATTGTTCTTAGAAAAATCCAAGTAAATTAAAATTGTTCATAATTCTTATATTAATCCGTCTTTAGTTTCCCAGATTATGCCTATTAACTATTTAATTCGTATCCTGTTCTTTATTTGGTCATAGGAAAAGCAGCTAAGTAAACTGATGCTTCATTTGTTAAGTAGCAAAACTTTTATTTTTTATTTTATTTTATTTTTTTTATATATTTTATTGATTTACTGTCCTCTTAAGCAAAATGCCAACCAGAGGATTTGCTTTCTTGTTAAGTCCAAAGTCGAATCCTTAAGAAAACGGTAGTTATCCAAATACTAGGGCTAGGTCTATTAACAGGGCTTCTTAAAACAATGTCATTAAAGCCACTGAATGAAGGGGAGGATTTTCCACATAGTGACATTCTGATGAGCTGATTAATGATGTGATAAATGTCTGAACAGGATTTCCTAACAGTAGGAAATATATCTTAATGAACACAAGCTTTGGTAGACTTCCACCCACTCTTCCTTTCTCCCATTCAATCAACAAAAAGACTCTGAGGCTACCAGAACTGGTTAACATATTGCACACAATTCCATGAATTTGGGTTCCCTGAACAATCAATTGTGAGACATTATAATTAATTATTTAAAAACAAAGGCAAGGAAAATAAAATGCTCTCCAGTTTTAATCCAACTGTTTTGCATATTTACTGTGACAAGTTCTTTATTTTCCCCTTTGTGGAAAATAGCCCAGCTGTAATCCTCCTCAATATTCAGATTGTAGCAAATGAGATAAGGATTTGCATAACATGACAAAAAGGTATGCAAATATATTCCTGGGCTGAGAATAAAATAAAATCTTCTTGCTACCACTAAAAAAAAAAAAAAGGAAGAAAGAAAAAGTTAAATACAGAATAGATATATAAAGGTGATGCTGATTATGCTATTCTTTTATAATCTAAAAGTCCTTTATGTCTAGATACATGATCACAGCCACCTAATTAATACCTTTAACAAAAGCCTAAGAAATTGTTTGCTGGAGGAACTCAAGGTTTTACCAACTCCTACTCATTTTTTCCTCCCAGGTAAATCCTTACCTTTGCCTCTCCACATGAAAATGATTATTCTAACCTCTCGAATACCAGATTGTAATGGGCAAGTAAAGAAAATGAGATAGCAACTCTATTTAGAGTGACAACATTGCTCTAAAAAAAAACACTAAAAAGAAGTTCTTGGCATTTTTATTAATAGATACAAACTTTCTTCTTTTCCTCTTACTGCTCATATTGTACTAAATTTGCAAGTTTTAATTCTTTTTCAAAAAGCACCGAAACGAAATCCTTGAGGGACCTGAAGCAGACCCATTAGAGACTTAACCGTAGGTTTTACAATGACTAGTATAATGTAACGTAGGGAGCTACAGAATAAATGTTGCCAAAAAAACAAGACACTATTTCTATACTTAAACTGAAAACTAAAACAAGA